CGTTACATAATATGATGTGTTGATTGATACTCTCAGGATATTCGTACATACTTGGCAAGGGGTGCTGTGCGTAGATGCAGGCCCCCTTGCTCCAGCAGAGAGGGATGCAGCCGCTGTTCTCCATTTGTTTTGTAGGCGGGGCTGTTTAAGGTCCGGCCACAGGGCCCAGACAAACCTGTCGGGCTCCGAAAACAGCATAGAGCCAGGGACTAGGACGGGCTCCTAACCTGGCTTTATGTTATTATAAAAATGTCCTTTTATGAAATGTTGAATAACGTGAGGAAAAACAAAAAATGGGATCCTAAAATATCCCCCAAAAAGTTAGAAATGGTGTCCTGCTGTGCTGGTAACTGGGCTGTCATTTGTTGGAGGGGTGATATCATCCAGTGTGCAACTTTTAGCCGCCGCCTCAGAAGATAGCCACAGGAAACTCAATAGAGAAAAAATCAATCAAAGCCAGAGTCCCGGGGCTCGAGGTAACTCTAGAGAAGAAAAGAGCCCAGTAAGAGGAAACAGAGGATGTCAAATATCCTTTGTACTGTCAAATCTGATGACTCAGCAAGTATCCCCACAGGAGGTAGAGAATATACCAGTCCGTAACTCTCTATGCTTGAGCAGCAACTACATGCAATCACCAGGGTCCAAGTCCACTTGATAAAGAGATATTACTCAGCTTCTCACATCCAGAGAATCCGTCCAAAACAGCCAAGTCAAATCTTCGTCTGCAATAAAAGACAAACCAATGCCTGATGATAAAGCTGGAAGTGCAGTATCTGGTTCTGCAATCCAAGATCGTGATCACAAGACTTCCTGTCACTCTCTCCGAAAGCTTGCTGAAACATCGTATTACATCAGGACTGGAGGAAGTGGCTCTGCGTCCAGGTATTAGTAATCAATCTGTCCAATGCATGTCATGACCTTTAACCCTGCAAAATACCTAAACCATTGTGCAATTTGATATGTACTGATTTCTGTTAGGAAGTTCTTTTGTTCCCTTCTTCACTCCAAGGAGATAGAGCCCTGGTGGGAGGAGAAGGTTCAGTAAGTTGCTCGAGGACGCTTCAGCAGAAAAGCTTCCCAAAACAGACATTCATGCTCTCTGTGGCCGGGGGAGAATTTCTCTACCAATTAGACTCTCCTGCAGTCCAATAAATCCTCAGAAAATATCAAATTCTGGTCTTCGTTGCGGAGCTTTTGATCCAATTAATCAGCCCTTGATGTGAAAATCAAAGAAGGAGGCCTCCCTGCAGCCATACATCTTAAGTCACATGGTACGGCATTGTATGTCAGAAATCCAGGTTACAAAACACTGCCGACAAACTAATACTTTGTGTAATGACATCAAAGTACAATTTTCCAAGAAAGGTTGTCGTTTTGTTCTGTTAATCCAAAATGTGGTCCAAAGAAGATGGTAAGAAGAAAAGAGAAACTTGCACCAGAGAATAAAAGAGATACAAATGTAGGGCAAAGAGGGGCGTAGAGCAATGGAGCAAAGTGAGGGAGAGGTAGGTAGAGTGACCGACGCAGGAGGGAGAAAGGAAAGCACGAGGAAACGGATGACGAAATACAAGATAGAGACTAAAAGAAGAGTTGAAAAAGAACAGAAAGATCAAGAAGAAAAAGGAGAAATAAAGGTAACTGGATAAAAAGAGAAAGTGGAGAAACCCCAGGGAGAAGCTGAGCCTCGCATCCTCCAAAGCTTTCTCACAATGCTCTGAGCCTGCAGGAGTTAACCAGGTCAGAGCAGGTGTCTGATGTCAGAGAGAGACATAAAGGGACAGAGACAAAAATAAAAAGTAAAGATCCAAAAAGGCTGTGATGCAAAGCCAGGCAAGAAGGGAGAACGACTATGTGGAGGAAAAAACGTTGCAGGATTTGGTTTGAGGAGAAAAATTGATGCAGTAAATCCGTTTCGAAAGTCATTCAGCCGTGTGTAGCTCAGTCTGGCTTCCGAAGGCTTTCATCTGGAGCAGCGGAAAGGGGAACTGGATCACAACATCCCGATCTCTCTCTCTCGCACACACACATAGCCGCAGCTAATACACACACACACACACACACAGTACATCCAGCGCAAACCTTGAGCAGTCGCAATAAGTGCACCAAAGAGGCTATACAGTGAGAGAGTTGTGTGTGAAAGCCAGAGAGAGGCTGTACGTATACAAGAGTGTGTGTGCATGTGACTAAGCTGGTAGACGACTGCATGCATGTGTTATTGTTGAAAGTCTGTAAAAAGCAGAAGAAGTGTGTGCGCAAAATCAAAAAGTGAGTGTGTACCAAGTGCTTCTTCTCTGCTGTGTTTTCGGTATACGCTGCTGTGACCACGCTGCGAAAAAGCTGCACCGCTAGCTCACAGGCAGAAGCAGCAAGGGTGGGTGTGTGTGTGTGTGTGTGTGTGTGTGTGTGTGTGTGTGTGTGGGGCAGAGAAGGAGACTAGAGGCTAACATATTCTAATTGACATTTAATGCTGTGGAAAGTAGGCAAGGCGAGTGGACAGGACTTATAAATACGCTAATAGGACACCACTGCTAATCAACACTCCAACACACACACACACACACACACACACACACACACACACACACACACACACACACACACACACACACACACACACACACACACACACACACTTTTACCAGGATTAATGTTTAGCCACTGAAAACATACATTCCACTGTATGACCCATAATAACACTTCCCCTTTTTCCTCTGTTTGTATTATCCGTGGGCAGGTCTCTGCTGCCCTCTGTCCTGCCTCTCTGTTGTCTCTCCTCCTCTACAAACATATTGCATCTGCTCTCCTGCAGCATGCCATCTCTTCAATGGCAATAAAGCACTCTGACATTCTATTCCTCTGATGTGCCACTGCCAGAGCACGAGATGAATGGGCATGCTTTCTAGCTAAGCTTCCAGCGGAAAACCACTGACAACTAACATGTTGTGATGTATTCATGACACAAACTAATATAGAGCATATAGGCATATATTCAGTTATTTAATAATTAAGACCTCATGCTCCTAAAGGATCTTGGTCAGGTATAAATGAAACCAATGTCTCCTTGCGTCAGGAAATAAAGAGTGGCCCACCCTGTTTTAAGTGGACCAATCAAGTGTACTGACATCCAATATGTAGACATACTGTATGTGCTCTAGAAAAACATGTTTAACTAAAGGTTACATTTTAAGTGAGATCTCATTATAAAGCAGGTCTAGCTGCTACTTATAAACTAGGAAGTTACCTAAATGCACAAAGCCTGTATTCAGAAACTGTGCCTTTAAAACAGGCCTTCAGGACTAGCGTATTCTATACAGGTAGAAAGGGCCGCTACAGTCTGTCTCCAGCTGCATTGAGAGTGCAAAGAGGACATAAAAATGGACAATATAAAATGACCAGGACAAAATAACTACAGCACTCTTGAATGCATTTATGCATTTATTTGCATATGTCTTTTACATCAGTTATTTTGCCTTAGTTTTCATTAGAATTTGAACCGCATGGTGCTTACAGTATGATTGCAGCCAAATTGTGAGCTATAACTCCGTCTGATCTGTCTTCTGTCTTTATATTTCATATCATGCAACACAAAATGATTGTATGATATAAATGATGACAGAGATACAGAAGCTGGATGTTATGTTCAGTGTGCTCTCCACTGAAACTGAGCTTGTGATCCTTTCAGCAGTACTGAGAATGAGTATTTCTAAGGCTGTTTCGGGATACAGATTTTCAGTTTACCCGGTCCCCTGTACACTGTGTGGCGTGCTACTGTCATTTTGACAGCAAAGTTAGAAAGCAGCATCTCATTATGAGTTTCAGTTAACCTCGACCTCAAGACGTATCCCACTAGAGTTCTGCCAAAGTTAAGGTCAGGAAATGTAAAATATGCGTTTGTCCTTTTCAGGAATAGCCGCGTTCACACCGGAGTACTTTTCCCACTTTAGTTACGATATAGTTCCGAAATGTCGCGTTCACACCAAAAAGAGCCGGAACTAAAATTAGTTAATGAGAACCTTTTTACCCCCTTTTCCGTCCCTGCAGAGAGCAGGGACTCTCATGCGGCTCTCTTGTGAGAAAAGAGCTATATTTCTGATTGGCTGGGCGGATTGCAAACCACGCCCCGTAAAACAAACAAAAAAAGTGTTGTGAAGACACCATTTTATTATCCTCGCATTAGCATTATTAGCATTAGCATTAGCCCAGCGCAGAAACGCAGAGAGACTAACTTATGGCAACACATGGGAGCGGTGGAGATGAGGAGGCGTCGGCGTTCTGATGGTTTACTCTGAAGGCTTCTACTGAAGCCAGTCCCCAACTCCGGGGACTTCCGGCCGCGGATTTTGGGCGGCAGTATACGCCGTGAAGTTGTTTGTGTCCTGCCAGTAAACCCAAAGCAGAAGAAGAAGAAGTGACGTCAGCGGCTTCATTTGCCTAATACACCCCTAGGGACTTATTCCGGTGTGAACGCGATCTGTACTTAGTAAGTTCTCATGAACCTTTGTGGGAAAAGTACTGCGGTGTGAAAGCGCCTTATGACAAGTTCTCTTTTCTGAGGTATACAACATCCTCCTTGAAAACATAGGATCAACGGTTACCTAGCAACACCAACGAAGAGAGACTGGTGCTTAGAGGTAATTATCGTATCTATACTTGACATTATTTAACCCTAGCAGTCCTCTTTAGGTGTGAGTCAAGACTAATACCAAAGAATATCATGCTTTGTGAATACGAAATAGAAGGATAGATCTCTCTTAGACCATGAAAATCAAACGGAAAGGATTCTGTCATTCCCATTAAGTAGTTGACAATATTTCTGTCCATATCAAAGTTACATTAGAGAGCAAATTAAAACAAAAAACAAAGAGTGGACAAAGGAAACCTTTACATTTTAAGGTTGATGCAATAACTCATACACATCACACACACAAATCTCTATTGTTAGTTCAGAGGACGTTCAGCAATACCTCACCTGTATTTAACAAAAATAAATAGATGCTCACCAGCGTAGTATGATATTCTGGAAATATCTGGAACAGAGAAAAAGAGAAAACAAGATTTTAGTCAGATAAATGACATGTGTATTACACAAACTTGGAAGTGAAACTCAAACTGACCATAAGTATTGGGGGTGTGGTGTTTCTTCCTGGCCCTGACCATCTTGCAACAAATTCTACTTATACATTTATTGCAAGTATCTTACACTTGATAGCTACATATTTGTCTTGGATGAACAGATACAATTAATCTACTTTCATATATTATAACGGATTACTGCTCGTAATTTACTACTTCAAATCCTATATATTTATTTAAATTGTGTAGAGTTGTAGGAGAGCATCGTAGAGAATTTGAGTTATTGACAGGAACAACATTTCCATTAGTTGAAATTACTAACATTATCAAAACGATACTTCACACATTTTCTATTTAGTCTATGACAAATCACGACCAACCAAAACATCAAAGAGGACATTCATCCCTTGGAAAGTCCAACTGTCGAATCCAAATCGATTACAATGTTTAATTTTAGCTGACAGGCATCATTTTCTAATCCCAATCCGCACATCACTGGCTTACATGTCAGCGCTGACCAACCAGTTACTGTACAGAAGGATTTAATATGAGCTACATTCCAGACAGTCTGAGTGAGGCGAGAACAATGAATTGGCAAAAATAATTCTGCCCTGTCATGCTGTAACAGCTTCACACTGTGGCCTCATTCAGCTCTCAGACTGCCGGATAACCACCTTCATGTCACCTTCTACTCACCACTCCACTCTCCTATCTCTTTTTACTCACAAGCTCACATAAAAAGGACACCAAAATGAGCAATGTGATGAAATGTCCAACACTGTGAAGCTACGCTCTTCTGTTACTAAGCAACGGACACAAAGCAGGACTGTGGTGCTGATGAGGATGCCAAGGCTTTGTGTCGGATTGTGCATGATAAAGGCGGTTCCATATAACATACTACTAATGTGCTTCACGGGCTATTTATCAATGTTATGTATTGAGGATACTCGTGCTGAAGAGCGTGTAAAATAAATGAATGTATTTTTTACATTTTGTACTGGAACAGGTGATTACAGCATTCACCAAATTGCAACTTTAAAAGCAACAACCAAATAAATTGAAGAGATGTTTGTGCATGCATCATTTGTTTTCATAGGTGAGCATTTTTATTTTTTAAGTGATGTACTGTAGTATGGAATTGGGACACTATTTACATACTAAATGTATGTTCTTAATGTTCCTAATACAATGCATTGTGAGTCAACAGTCTAACGGAAGCAACATCTGAAATGAATTTTTTTTAGTTTAAATATTGATATCGTTTTTTTAATTTACTTGTTCTAATCAAACTCAAAATCTGGTAAGGATAAGAATGTATGAAAGCATTGGGACACAATTTAGGACGTGTATCATAATAAACATTGTGGGTTATAAAGATATAACATATTGTTTTTTACATTTGACTTGGTTTGGTTCACTGCTGCTCAGTGTATGTGTGTTCTTCTTAATGTCCTCTAATCACATAATCCAATTGGTTCCTGGCAGAGTTGTGCCCAAAATGTTGGCTACAAGTAGATGATATTAACAAAAGCAACGCAACACCAATTCTGGCAATATTCCCCCTCTCCCTCTCTCGGAGTGTAAAATCCAAAATGTAACATTTAAGGCTCTGACACACTAAGACGTTTTGAGCCTGGGCTGGCAGTGCTTTCAGTAGAAAAGGCTTAAGCATACATTGAAATGTTTCTTGGTGTTAAAAATATATTAATGAATAGAATTCTTGAAGCACTATCACCTTTGAAAATTGCCCACACATTTAGCCAGTACTGTGCCAGTGTATTTTCAAATGTTTTAAATACCCAACAGAAGAAGGAACGCACTCAAATGTCACCAGAAATAACCTGGCTTTGAATCCACCTCCATTCTTTCATATCCACAAATAATGACTCAAAACTAGATCAAGTTATTAAAACAGTACTGAAACATCCGTCACTGGAACTGCTTAAAACATTTTTCACTTGTATAAACACTCCACAGAGCTTCTCCCTCCTACTCCATCACATTTCCCTGTCACACTCGCAGCCCTTTGCGTTCTCTCACCCACTCGTGCCTCTGGCTATAAACCACAGAGGCTACGCTACAGTTGACACCACGCTAAGGGCATTGCACAACTCCATTCTCATCAAGAAAACAACGACAGCCTCATGCGCTGATCAGCCCGACAGAATACAGTACAATACAATGGAGTGTAACATCAGAGAAGAAGAAAGCCACCACAGTAGCAGCTACAGCTTTAATGAGGTAGCTGTCATTGTTAGAAGCAGCCATAAAAACATTATTGTAGCACTGGGATTACTTTAGAGATAAGGAAGTATACCAGAAAATCGTCTGATGTTCTCATTTTCACATCTGTATTTTTGAATGTTTGACAGATGAAGCGTTGACATGAGCAGACATCACTTTCCACATGTTGTTTGTTGAAACACCTGCGTCAATAACTTTCATTGCCCAGCTGCAGAACACAACTCCGAGGAGCCATTCTGTAGGTTCATTTGCCTATCAAATGAAGCGCCATGCACAATTTGCGTGGCAATATAAATGCTTGAACATAATTCACTACTACACTTTCCATATCACTTATGTCAAGAGTTCAGAAGCACATCCTTTACACTGTTTGTTACAGCCCATTATCACTCACTGTCATCAATATCTTTCTAACAACAAATACACAAAATCCAGACAGATTTAGTGTTTTAAAGATGTCAATCATTTATAATATAAAATAATATTTCATGCAATGTACCATAGTTACAACATTTATTAAATAAAAAAATCCATACTGAGAACTACAACTCGGTGTGACTGTTTGAAGAGTAAATGTTTTTGGCTTTACAGTAACTCAAGTTTTACAGGCAGGACTCCAGCATGCGCTCTCAGATCCCCTTCATGCCTTCCTATTCTGAACCGTTTCCCCCCGAATGCACAGATTTATAGTTTTATGCAAGGACAAATTTTAAACAAAAACAAGTGTTTTTATAAGCTGTTTTATGGCTGCCCCTCAGTGTGCAGTGCTCTGCACCGAGGTTAATGTTCAGTAATTCACAAAAACCTTGATCTAAACCACTGCATGTCTCTGTGGTCCCACAGAATCATCTCTGAATTATTACAGTAACAGAGACTAAAGGATTTTAGCTGTTAGACACCAACGTTTTTGGCTGTGTGTTTTTATGAATCCTTCTCAATATAAGCTACTTGTGTAAAAGTGCTTGATGTCAGATAGAAAAATTATTTGTGGTAAGAATAAGAAGAAAGTGTCAAACAACTATGATATAATATTTAACAGCCAAAGCTGTCCGCTGTGGATTAATATGTCTGTTCTTACTTTCACTTGAAGCTCACTTGATCCACATAAGCAACATCATAAGTGGAAACATTACTCAAATATAAAAATGGATACAGTGCTGATCATGTTTATACATACTGTACATATATATATTTGACAGTTATGTTGCTCCTCTGGCTGCTGTTCTAATCACCAATATGTTATGCAATGCTGTAGATTAGAAAATGCTAATTAAGTAAAAGAGAAAGTAAAGATAGTTGTTTATGCTTTATGAACCTTCTAAAATGGAATGGAGAAAACTGTACAATATCAATAATCATCATAACATTAGATTTCTTCAATAATAATCTCTGCATTACTCAGTTAGACTTTCCATTACCATGAAGCCCAACGTGATGAATATCAACCAGACAATCTGACATGTGGATACCCAGGCTGAATAAGGCTAAGAATCAGATGTTGCAATTATTTTTCTATTAATTATTTTTCCATTTTGCCATGCAAATATATGTTTTTTTGAGGTGTATAACAAGTTATTTAACAATCACAGATCCTGACAGTGCGTGCTGACCATTGGAAGAGGTTAAACAAAACAGTGAGCTATGGATGGAAATAGGGGAAGGCTGATGACACAACAGGAGCGTCACAAGTCTAAACATATAACCTGCTGCTTTACTGTCCCAGAAAATGACAACCATAGCTTCAACAAACATGGATTCCAGGTGTGAATAAAGTCAAGATCTAACATGACATTCCTTACAAGGGGAGGATATGACACAACCCAGTAGGTATCTTAGCTATAGCTTTTTATGCAAAAGCAGAAAACATGGCCCGGGGCAGAGGATGGGTGTTGGAGGTAACTGTCCTGGAATTCAATACACAACAATAAAGTCACCACAAGTGAAGACAACACAAATTAACTGAGATCATAAGGCAGACTTTGACATGCTTTATAGATTAAGAGAGGGTGTGAGTGTTTTGTATACGGACTGAACAATGTCAGAGGACCATCTGTATTCCACTGCATAGGCTTTAATGTGGGTTTGATCAAAAGATGACTAAAGCGAGAGCTATTTAGTTTATGTCTTATACTTTCTCTGCCAATTGCCAACATTTTCATCTGCTTTTTTTAATATGTTAACTAACAGCCTCCCCTATACAAAGCTGTTAGTTAAAGTCCTTCACTTAGCCCCGTGAACAAGAAAAGTGACATTTAATAGCTTTGGCCTGCGGTTGTTTACCTGCATTTATACACAAACAGAAATCTGATGTTTAACAGTTCGTGCTACAGGTCGGACCAGATGTCTTTGCCCGAATAGAGTGAATAACTTCAGGCAGTTTCTCTGTGCGGTAAACAACGAGAAGATCAAATGTGGGCAAAACACAAGGTTTGAAATCTAGACCTCGTTTGCTCGGGTGAACTCAGGTGAAGTAAAATAATTAATTGTCATTTCACACAGAAGCTTAAAAAGGGAGCTAAATTCAATAGGTAGGGATGTAAGAAAAATATTGATATTGCGATTTAATGTTTCGCAAAACTGTATGAACTCTTGAAAACATTGTTTATATTTCAACTGTCATGATTGAATTAAAAGAACCAAAACAATGTGATAAAATTGAATGAATAGTGCAATATACTGTATAGCCTTGCTTACAGTTTCGCATTAAATCACAATGTTTTGAGTATAATATATCACCAGATTTTTGCCAATACACATTACTATTTAATCCTTATCTTACACACAGGTAAACTGACAGACACTGATAAGCAGGATGTTACATTCAGTGTTTGGTATTACACTATCATAGGTGCCACTGGCTTTGAAGTGTTACAGTAGGAATATGATTACAGTAACAGCTGGAGCAACAGCAATTAATGTAGTGTTGTTGTTGTTGTTGTTGTTGTTGTTGTACTCCATCTCTAGGTTTGTGAAAGTTGTTTACCTATTTTATAATAGAAAGTAATAGGTGAGAATAATCTTTATGGACAACACTCATTTAATTTCACACCCGTATCTATGGCAGGCCAAGCGAACAATATCCCAAAACCTTCAGCGCAACAAATAAACAATTCGTGCCAATTTATGCATTTGTCAAACCTGCTGTCAGAAGCAAACAGCCAGGTTTATCAAAGTGAAACAGAGCAGGCTGACACTGTATCAGAGCGTTCAGTGTCTTTGCTTGTGCTCCACACTCTACCTGTCTGTGAGGTTTTCACATGCAACTGCTTGCACGGCGGTGAGCAGCACAAATTCCTTTCCAGCCCTCAAGCCTGCCAGACCCCTCTCTACCTGCCGAGCACAGAGCGCCCATACAGCCGTCCAATAACAGCCCATTGCTTTCCCCCAGCCCTCAGGATGACTACACACGTTCATACCTCCATTGGTGCAGCCCAGGAAATCCCAGAACTGCATGTTTGCAGTCGGCACACAGAGGACTGAACCTCGAAATCACAGACGCCTATATGTTCCTGTTCTGACTCTCCACTTCCTAGTTATACTGTTGGCTGTCACTTATAGGAGAGGGAAAACACCCGCCCACTGATTGTTTCGGACTGACACACCTGGGGGCTGAGTTTCATTTCCAAACTGCTGCCTCCTCCTCCTCCTAAGCTCTTATTTCTAATCCTCTTCCCACTTCTTCTCACTCTGCGTTCCATCTTATCCACTACTCTGTGTCTCGTCTTTATCTTTTCCTGACTGGAGACAGGCGGGTGTATACAATTGATCCAACGTCCTCAATGTTTTTTTCCACATCCCTGCCTCTTCAGATTAGTGGAAGTAATGGAGGAGGCAAAGAGAAACAAAGCCACAACAGAAACAATACCTGCTTCATCTCAAATGATAAGTTCTATTTACAAAACACAATTAAAATATTTGTTTATATTTACAAAATAATAAGCAAGTTACATTTAAGTCACATATCAAGACAGATTGCACTAAATTCATGATGTGCCCAAGTGAGGTTTTTTATCTGACAGCAGGACTGTGTACACGGAGAGAGGAAAGCCATGAATCACAGGATTGACTGGAAATGCAATCTAGCAAACATTAACTAGGCTTTCAATATTACCTAAACTGTGAAGTGATAGTGTTTGTCCATTAGGAATATAGTGAGGGACTTATTCTAAATGCCAGTATTTTCCTATAACGCACTTACAACAAATGCTGTCATATCTCTTTTACAAGAATAGCTGGATGCTCCATTACTGTATATGTATAATTGAATCACATTTTGAGTTTAGTAAGTGCAAAGCGATCTGATTCCAGCCTTGTCAGATTTGTATTCAAGTATAAAAGAGTACAAATCTCAGCTATGCATTCAATAGTTTTCTGTGCACAAGCACTTCAAAATAACTGAGAGCTTTGGGGTTTTGACCCTCCAGTTTTGCTGCAACTAAGGATGTATTCAGGGATGTGATCGGGGCAACAGTCACATAAAGCCAGGAAACAAGAGGAGGGAAAAAAGGAAGGAAAACAGAAATCTGTAGGAGACATGAAAGGGCAGCTTTGACTCCATAACCCCTTAAACCAAAAAAAATCCACAGACAAATCCCATCCACAGGGCTGTGCACCAGGCTCCGCACCCTCTTTAGTTCTGTAAATGTTGACACTGCAACTAAAATAATACTTTAATCCAACGAAACATGCAAAAGGAAATCATTTGTGCATGGTTAAAATATGAATACCTAATATAACACTCGGGCTTCCACAGCTGAAAGTGTTCAATCTTGTGGTTGAAAAGGCAGCAAGCAACCCTAACACTTGAGACGCACAGGTTAAGTAAGAGCTGCCCCCTTTTGTCTAAAAACCGTTGCTTGCAACAATACCCCTCATTGTGAGCAACTCGTTATTCATCAAAACACAGATTTGCCACGGCGTTGTTGCTCTGACATAAATCCTCATAGGCTTGGACCTTTGCACCTAAACAGAGAAAGAGAGAGGGGTGGATTCGGCCACTGCACCACTGTCGGTCTGTTAGGAATACAAATGACTCCGGTGTGTCATTTGGACCAATATTTCATATAATTCAGTCCAGGATATGTTCTCAAATGCATTATACCAGCTCCAATAAACACACCCCGTGTAATGCATTCGCGTTAACCCCATTGTCTGTGTGTGTTACCCCCTTTAATGCTAAGCTAGCTCAGCTAACGGTGGGCTATTCCTATTTAATCCGCCCCCCAGAAGGATCAATACTCACCCGCTTCAGCCCTGGAGCCCGGCCGCACCTACTCTTCGTAACTGGCCACCTTTTCCAGCCAGCACGTTAATATAAATGTATGGACCCGCTGATGTCAGAACCGGCTTGGTGGCTGTACCTCTCCGTTATGAGTCCCTCTCCCTGTCTGTTTTTGTCCTCAACAGCGCCGTGCCCGGTAGTCGGTGTCCACTGACGCTAGCTGATAGCACCGTGCAGCTGGAGCAGCTTTTCCAACATGGCTGCAGCTGGTGGGTTTACTGACAGGAGGAGAGGAGAGGGGCCCTACGTGTCCAGTTGAATACTTCAAGGGCCACCAACTGTTTTTAAGTAAGAACTCAATTTAACAACATCCTCCTCGATTTATCTTGTCAAATAATGTTATGCAGGGCAACGCTCTGCGACCGTGTTTTACCTAAAAAGCCATTGCCTTGCACTGTACAGACTCTATAGTATAGTTAAACAGGGAACCATACATCATTATTATTAGGTTGTGCAACATGACAACCTATTGTTGCCTGGCTATAACAGATCCATCGCCTTTTATTTTAGAATTAAATGTATTGTCTATGGGTCCTCAACTGAAATACCCAGTAGCCAGACATGTCCATATAATCATGAAAAAAAAGCTGGTATAATGGTAAACTTATACCAAAGAAGATTATAAAACAAAAGAAAAAGAATAGCCTACCAATAAAATATAAAACATTGATAATAACAGCATACAACAATGTAACCAATAAAATGAGAACAGAAGACCATTAAAAAAACTATCTATTCAAACATTAGAATAAGAGTTCACATCCAATAAAAAATCTCAATATACATAGGCCTACAATATGTGGCCATATTAAATGGTGGATCAACTATCAGACATGAAGATGTAAGATGTTCTCAAGTGATGTTAATAAAATTGAAAGTATCAATACAAATTTGACATTAGTACTACCACATTTGTTATGTTTATTAGAGAATATAAATATTTTAAGCAGATGCGAAGGTGCAGTTGCTCTTTTTGAGTTAGGTTGATACAATTGTTGTGTAAACTGAGTTGCAGTCAGTAATCAGAACTGCATAGATGCATGCGTCTATGAACAAAATTGTTGTTGAAGCTGAACATTAAATTGCTCTCCACTCGGTCCTCCCCACTTTGAGCAAGTAATCTCTGAGCTGGCAGGTTAGTCATCATCCACTTTATGGGACAAATCACAAAGGTCTAGCAAAGTGGATGGGCATTTGCAAGATTTTGTGTTTTTGTAATACAGTCCAATGCACCAAAGCAAAGTGAAATAATAAGAAACAGGAGCAACATGTAAGAACCCACAGTCGTGCTGCAGCTGATGTCTCGTGTTTAAATGAAATATTTAGAGATTACTGTTGTGCATTATGCATCATAGTATAATGTAAGCCAAACAAAGAAGCTTTGAAATAAAGATCTCTCTCTCTCTCTCTCTCTCTCTCTCTCTCTCTCTCTCTCGATCTCTCTCTCTCTCTCTCTCTCACACAACATTATTGTGACTTGACTATTGTGATGCTGACTGCCAGTATGCTGTGTTGCTGTGTGTCTCCACTGTCTCGCAGTCGCAGCCCAAAACAATTCATCTACTGGCGGGCCTACACACAGCCCCACCTACACTTACAGTACATTCATGCATACAGTTAATATCCATACATACACAAATGCAAACACACACTTGTGACAAAGATTATTTTTATTCTAACAGAAGAGTGAAACAAATTATGTCACAAGGGAGGGAGACACTTAGGTGGATTAAAACTCTTAATGTTGTCATAGTAACATGGTGTGTGTGCTTTGCTAGCAGTATACTCCCATTTTACACTTTTGGCAGTCAGACCGCTGAGCAGATAGAGGGAATTACATCTAGTGTCAAATGAATTCAATTAAACAGTAAGGGACAAATTAACCTTGAGCCAATCATAAACACAGGCTCTTAATACTTCATGCTGCTAAAGCCAGCTGTTGGTAGGGAGGTTCATGTGTTGTATTGCACACTGGAGACTTATTTCTGCTATAACAAGAACACAGAAGAAAAGATAGAAAAAAAGGAAATGTACTTTTATCCTGCCTTTTTTGGATAACCCTAAATACGAGTCACGCAATATATTTAATTACGATCCATAATGCTGTGCAAGGGAACTTGTATTAAAAAACATGTTTTTTTTCAATATAGTTGTGGTAGTTGAATGTTATTTGGCTATATAAAGTGTCACGTAGTGCATGGCTGTTGATGAGGAGACTGTGGCTGAGTGGGTAGTGTGCTGGACTTCGAATCAGGGGGGTAGCAAGTTCGAGTCCCACTGCAGTCAGCATGTTGTTGTGTCCCTGGGCAAGACACTTCACCAACTTCAAGTTGCTCCTGTGGGGATTGCCCACAGTACCGAATGTATGTAAGTCGCTTTGGATAAAAGCGTCTAACAACTGACATGTAATGTAATGATGATGCAAAGGAAAAGAAAAAAAAATAGATGATAGAGCTCCATCTATTGGACATATTGGAGAAGTACACTACAGTTGGTCTTGACACAGAATAACAGAATGGGTTCATACTGTATGTCAACCATGGACTGTATACATGTGATATATAGATCCAACCTATAGTATAATCGAGGTAATTTTATGGAAAGTGCAATCTCTTTGCAAGAGGATTTATAAACATAATTCTTTTTTAGGATTGAATTATTTAGGTGGTTGAGAGTTTAACTGATGTATCGTCAATTATGATGACAAGGAAACCAGAGAAAAAGGCTTTCGCCTTCATGACATTCTGAGCAGTAAATGGCATGTTGTAGATTGAATCAGAGAAAGAAGACAATATCCATGTTGACGACAATATTGACCTTTTGCGTGACACATATAAAGATTGATGTAATTAGATGACCTGTTTCTTTGAAGGTAATGGGATTTTCTGGAACAATTACTGATGTTCTGATCAAAAATTACTGTCTGAAATAATGCCTGTATTTTACAAACATTATTCTCAAACGTTTTCTTTGTCACTTGACACATGATAGACAGTTTTTTGTCTATCAAAATGTAAACCAAAACCAGAGGTATTGTCTGTTTTATTCCAATCATTCATATTAGACGATCTTGTGAATGGCAAACAATCAAGAGAGGGAAGGCAATCATTTGTCAGAATTATGTAGTTCATTTTCACTGATACTTACATAAAGTAATACATTTTAATGATTGAATTAAATGCATTTAAAGTAATGATATTATTTTATTTTATTCCCAAAAGCAAGTCCCATTTTCAACCTTTTGAGATCTAAAATATATGACCATAACTGCAGATAATAAAAACAAAGCTGTAGCATAATCAATACACATTCCTACTATATGTATGAACATCCAGTCTTCACACTAGAAAACACTTTATCTTTATATCTTCATTTGATCAATTATACATGAAAACACTTTTGAGCTTTTTACATAAACAGACAATGTTCAGTTTTGATTACTAATTTATGGAGATACTAGATACAACACCAGGAGAGAAATGTAGGAAATGATGGTTAAATAGTTGAAGGAATAGGAAGAGACACAGATGATACAGAAGAGGGAACAAAGACCTTTCTGCTAGAGTTAGTGCAAAGAAAAGGGCATGACAGAGTGAAGCTATCTTAGTAAATATAATGAGGTATGTTAATAATTGCATGCCATTTGGTGCAGAGTGCTCTCTTGCATGCCACTTTATTGGACGATGTGGTCTATGAAGTATGCTCCATGGTGCTGTGTGTGGGGCCATGCTTGTCCTCGGCGCTGTGTGAGTATGTTCGGCCTCGTTGCAGCTCGTTGGTGTGTGCGCGGCTCCGAGAGCCATCGATACTGGAGAAGGAAGTTGTTCGTGACCCAAGTCTAGTCATGCTGGCACTGGACACTGGAGAAATAAGAGAGAGAGGTTTGAGCTTTGCATCAGTCTTTAATGGTAATAGGAGTGTATCCAAAACAGATTTATAATTATGATTCAACATACATGTTATCCACTTATTAAAATAAATGCATTTATCATGTTCTTCTCCTAACACCAATTAGGGGTTTCAATAATCACATTTACAGGAAGTGGTTTTTAACAGTGCAGAGATGTAAATACCTAAAGTGTTGATCTCTGTGATGTAATAGTTATGTTACAGGTTAGGATAGTTAAGGGTTAGGTCACAGTGACTTACAGTATCCCAGGCCCTGGATAAAATATTTCATAGCTTCAATAACTTTGGCTGGCTGTAGAGAGAAAGAAAAAAAGGATCACATTTAATTCCAACCAATAAGGAGTGTAGATTTTACATTATTGCTAGCGGAAAAGCCACTGAAATGTCCCTGCCTACCTGATCCGCCTGAGGAAGTCCTCCACAGTCCGCCATCTTGAAGAGCAAAGGTTGTCAGGTTTAATAAAAACTGTATGTGGTGTTAATGGGTTAATGGACATGTTGTGTCAGTCAGTCCCTTGGTTACCTTGAGCAGAGTTGTCTTGGTGGGGTCGAGTTTAGAGTTGCAGTCGACCACGGCCTCCACAGCGGGAGAATTATCTCCTACAACCAGCAGAGTGGAGCACCTGTAAACAAAGACAAAGGCAGAAAAAGTAAGACATTTAGTAAGAAAAAATAGAGCCTGGCACTTTATCGGATGCTATTTACAGGACACAAAAAAGGGAATTATATTATATGTGAACTATTCCGGCTATTCATTTTCCAGATCTTGACGCTATCACCTCCTTAAAGGTTCATGTTTGTACTCACTTGAGGGTCCTTGCATTGATGTTTCCTCCAGGGATGGGCCTCTCGACCTCCAGGGGGTGGCGGTGGTTGTAGGAGTGAAGGAACTCACTCACGTTGTACTCGTCCATTGTTGTCGTGATGAGGTGGCGGTATGTGGCGATGAGGTCATGGTTGTTCAAAATCTCAACCTGAAACATCAGTAAGACAAAGGTATTCTGTAAAAGACTCACTTTATAATTAATAATCAACATTTTTGAAGATGTTTACACTTTTGTTACATGGTAATGGAAGCCAATAACTTACCTTTCCAAACAAGTGTGAGATGAGTGTGTCAGGGAGAGTGTGGGTCCATTCAGTGATCTATAAAACACATAAGAAAATCACTACATTTACATTCAGCTACATTTAGATTAGCATATTATGCATTAAATTGACATCAGGTTTAAAATGTCAGAATCAGTCCAATGCAATCCAATATCTATAAATACAGGTGGTTGTATAGATTAAAGTCATACATTTGAATCTATTGCACTCAACCCAGTACCTCAAAGAGAGGATGGTTTGGGCACTCTAATCATTCCTGCCTTTCTTAAGATCTGGCAATCAAAGATGTCTGACAAGCAGGACTGCTGCTCTTGAAATAGATGTTAATCTTATTAAACAAACGATCAACCTTGAACGAAGTGATCAACACACACTGCTCACCTTGCTTGTAACAGAATCGATTAGTCCTTCAGCGCTGGGGTTAATGTTGATCAAGACTAATCCGTCCACCATATCAGGATGATTCAGCTACACACATAAACACATATGAACGGTTAGTTTTCTACAATATTATTCACATACAGTTGTTTTTTCAGCAGTTCTCTCATTTAGTGTTGGAGTGTGAATGACTCCACGTCATTTTACTCTTGTACTAGATCACATCCTTGATATTCACCCATGGATTAATATCATGGATAAAATATTTATCTTCCCTGTTCAGAATTTTTTATGGAAAGGAGAGCTGCTGAATGTACAGGTATTGTAAAGCAGTGTCATCCAATCTCTAGGATTTAACAAAAATATCTAATCAATAACTCTGTCATTGATCTGATATTCAAGTGTACACTAAGAGAAACTACAGCTTAGTGAAGATCTGTTTTGACAAGAGTAAAGATTTCAATTTTAAATGTTCCAAACTATTTGTCACACTTCGTCCCTCTGTCTTAAGGTGAAATGGGATTAGGGGAAGAGATTTGAACTCACAGCAAATTTAGCCAGGATGTAAGCTCCTGCTCCAACTCCCACTCCAATCACCCGAGATAACCTGCAAACAGCAGCCAAAAGTCGAACTGAGATAAATCCTGGAGTGCTGTGTGAAAACAGTCTAACTTTTAATAAAAGGACAATTAAAAGTATCTGTTGAACTCACCCAAAGTGTTTGATGACAGCAGGAATGACTTCAGACAGCTGGTCCATTGTAGGGTAGGTATGTCTGAGGGGTCAAAGTTCACATAACCATCAGTAAAGGGTCGGACTCAATCTGTTAAACCTAATATACTCATGTAAAGTAATTTTATTTTTACAACTTAAAACACTGACCCAGTATGCAGAGTTTTGGCTCCCTCTTGTTGTCCTGGCGCTTCAACGTGACAAATTGGAAAATGTCTGATAATTTCCCGCATATCCTCGTGTTTGAACAGGGTTTCGAAACAGGATTTGTCTGCGAGAAGAAAAAAACAAAACTGCATCAAAATCAATAAGAATAAAAAGAAAATGAGAAAAGTAAATATACTATATCACTCAGATAAATATTTATCTAGACAAATTGAAAATGTATGCTTGGTTTAATGTAAAGATATTTAATAAGAAGAGATATTTATATTAATAAATGCACGCTTAAAGGTTTTACATACTGAAATATAAGCTATTCTTTGTATTAAATACATACAATAAATAAAAATTACTTTTTAGCTTAGCTGATCTAAAACACTTCATATACTTTTTTCTCCCACTTGTATATAGGTTTACAGTAGGTTTAGTGTGCGCAGGGTACAAACATTAGTGAAGTAGTTTGGACTTACAGTTCAGTCCAACATCATGAAATGTCAAGATAACAGGATGGTTTGTCTTTGGAGTTCCCATCATGATGCAGTGCACCTTCCCATAGTAACTCTCTACATGTTCCTCCTAAAAAGCAAAACAATCACACAGCAGATTCATTTTTGTAATGTGAATTAAAACCAGATGCTTTAAGCTCCATATGTAGCCATGCAGGAAAAGATCCCTCTGATACTGAGGTAAAAGTTGTTCTCACAAGTATAACACCTGCAGCAGCGAATGGAGCAGAAAGTTTAACTTAAGCTTAATACTCACAGTGATATGGGGCTCATATACAGAGTCACACTCCATCTCCTCCAGTACCATGGCTGCTGATGCAGAGCTAAAGGAGATACAGATGACCTGCGAAGATCTCTGATTCTCAAATTCCTCTTAAATTTGGAATCAAATGTTCTCTTTGTTTTGTTTGTCTGGAATCTTCCAGTCCAGAGCAAAAGACGATCTCAGAGCTTAATTTGTGAGACAAGCTATTTGTTTGTGCTGCTTTTTATATCCTCCGGCACTGATCTGTCCCTAAGCTTTAACTCCAAAAGGTTTTACCCGTTGCCAACCGGCCCCTTATTTTTTTAATCTGTCCTCAGGCTGCTGCAATCCAACATTGAAATCTCTGGATCTCTAAAGGGATTTAACCAGACCATCTACACATGGTAAAAAACAAACTTCACTGTGAATTTTTGAAGCGTCCTTAAGACAATTTAAGCAGAATATCCAGCTACAGATTATTTATTATGATCATGACATTTGTGTCTAGACAGTTATTACTTTATCTTAAAGTAATGTGTTCATATGTCCGATTAACTGAAATGTGAAAAAACAAACAACCAAATTATTGTTATGTCGACTCGTGAAATAATGAAGACTGTGTTTTGAAATATGCTTGATTAGAGGTAAATAACATCAAAATCACAGGTAAAGCTTGTTATTATTGACTGAAGCGTCATTTGAACACCTTCAGACAAACACTAAGTACGTCAGATGTCTAATCCCATCTGTTCCTCCTTCAGCCTCCTGCTAACTAGTACATTCACTTTATTTAATGGGTGCTCTGAAGTACGTCATTTTGCAATTTTACAGCACAAAAGATAAAAATAACCATAGAGATTTCAAAAGTCTAGCCTACAGCTGTGAACATTGAGTGTTGCCATGACAGAGGTGTGATACTGTTTGAATTTCTTCAAGCACTTTAAGATGAACATTTAGTGAGGAAAAATCATTGTGATAAATTGTACAACTTTAACAGGGATATTTATCCTAGTGTCGCATTGACATTTATAGTTGATAATGGAATATTTGTGTAATCCTGATTTTTGTGTTGGAATTATTATTATTTTTTTACAAAATCCCCCCAAATAATAAAAGAAAAGAAAAAGTCCAGAGTTTTTTTTATCTTTGGAAAAGTGCAAAAAAGGTACACTTTGGTTGGGAAGAAAAAGTTTAAAAAGAAGAAGGAATGTGTGTGCAACACACACACAACATATACAACAGCTATTATCACTGGCATACAGGATGTTCCCTAGATATATGATTTATTAAGAGATGTGACTGGTGTGTAAACTGCAGTGTGTACAGCAGGCAGCAACAACAACAGGCGGATCTGAAAGCACCTCATTTAAGAAATATTACACACACACACACACACACACACACACACACACACACACACACACACACACACACACACACACACACACACACACACACAGTGTACTGAATCCATTTAGTGCTGGCTGAAGAGCAGAGAGTCAGCATGTAGCCTTTTAACATTATCCTAACCATGACCAAGCTTTGCCTGCCAGCCTTTTTTACCTTGGACAACTGTCCCACATTTGAGGAATCTATTGTCCAAAGGGATTTGGCATCAACATCCACCTGTGTTTTTCGTGCTTATTTTTTGTTCTACAGTGTGTTTGAGGATTAGTGACTGCATAATCACCTAATCAAACTAGCACCGCCAACAATATAAATACCCAGTAATGGCAATAGCAGTCTAATACAACAACATAATTCTTATAACTCTTAATATTTGTACACATAACAAGTCTTTCTGCACATTGAAATTCCGGTATTTCATTTGACCAAACCCTTGCTGTTCAGTTGATGACATTCCTTAACCTTAATTGATCACATTAAGTGACAGGACAATCCGACCAGTGTTGGGGAGGTTAAAAATGTAATATGTTACATATTACCATTAACTGTTACATGTAATGTTACTATTTTAATAACGTAATTAAAGTTCTGTTAATCAATACATTTCAATACTTTTGATTACTTTTCAAACAACTGTTTTAAACCGGGCAATAAAGCCAAACAGTTCTAAATTTAAAAAAACTAATCCATGCAATGTAAACCCCATAACAGTACTCAAACTGATAAATGTTAAACTTTTATTAAGATTTCTTCAATAAAAAACTAAAAAAGTTGGAACAGAACCATGGTGAATATTAACACGACACAACATGTTTTTTACTAAGGAGGAATGTATTTACTGAGATAACAAACTTCAAAGCCATTAATTAGCCATTTCAAGCTGCGTTTCATCTTTAATGTAAGTTTAGAAATAGTGCCAGATTCGAGTCCATTGCAAACTAAGCACATTCTGCACCTTTGTGTCATTTCCACTAGATGGGGATATAATGTCACCTTTCTGGATGAAGCTAGTCAACTGGCAGCATTGAAGAAGCTCAGATTTTCCACATACTACACTGACAAATCTTGTTTTTTTTAAATGTCATTGCTTAATATTAAAATGGCTTTGTACTTACAGATAGCTTGAATCTTAAATATAATTCGGCATACATAAAATATATTTAGGACAGTCACCTGTTTTGTTTTGAAATGCCATGTGGGTGTGCCTGTCCCAAAGCAGAATGGTTGGACGGTGAGATGGAAAAAGAGTTTTGAGATCTCAGCATATGGTGGAGAGATCCTTGACCCACAAGTATTGATATGTTCCTCCAACATAACCTGCTGCACAGGGTAATAGAAATACTGTATTGAGGGTGGAGTAATGTCATGTAATGTCATGTAATGTCATGTAATGTCATGTAATTGCTTAATATTGCTTATTGTAACAGCAGGTTGCATAAGTGTCCCACATTTATTTTTATTTGAATGTTCCTTACATATAGACATGTAATGAAGCTGATCACAGGAGTTGTATTGTCATGCTGTCGCTGGTCGTCATGGCAACCTTTTTAGGCTGCAGGTGAAAGTTCTACCGTCCAACTCTCAGCTTTCAAAACACTCTAATTATACACACAGCAGCTGCTGCCGCTTGCCACACACTTGACTGTGTGTGCATGTGTGTATGTTTGTTGTTGTTTGAGTGTGTGTGTTTGTGAGTGTGTATTAGTATGTTTGTGATTTTCTCTGAACCTGTGTGTACGTGCATGTGTGCGTTCTCACGTAACCATGTGTTTATGTTCAAAATAATACAGGCCCCATGCACACTTCCATGTATAGTAGGAACGACTAAGGGTACAGTTTGTCGTGGTATTAACATGACCTAGCTAAAAAAAGAGATTGAGGTGCAATAGGTGGTTTGCTGAGGAATTTAGGCCTAAACGTTTGATCAATTAAACCCATTTTAAGTCAATATATTTTAGTAAAGTAAAGATCTATTGATTCCCCCAAGAGATTCTCAACACTTGATTTGATTTAATTTACTTTAGGGGCGTGAAAAGGTCAAATTCATCCAGTTATATAAGTGAAAAAGCAATGTAAAGTTTCTTTCCTTTCTTTATGATAAGCTCTTGGGGTTCATTGCTATACAGTTTACTGGTCTTAGTCCTTAGGTTGGGAACCACTGCTTTAAATAACACATACCATATTGTATTGCATTTTATTATTATTTGTATGCCTTGCATCATATTCTTTAGATAAAACCATTTTGCAACACATGAGAAACCCCTCCACTTCAACGGCAACCTACTGCAGTCACTGTAAACCAATACACTGATCGTTGTTTCCTCAAGTAATCTAGTTGAACTCTAAAATATTAGCATGGCTCAAACAGGAAGACCCGTAAATATCGTTTGATCCAACACGTCATACTGTTGCTTCTCCACCATCCACAGCTGGCCAATGAGGGGCTTCGCTTTTCCAGCATAGTAATGCTACTGCTGCAACGTGACATGGCCTAAATATAAATATAAACCTGAAAGCAGTTATTGTGCTGTTGTGTGCTGTTTAGATATCATACTATGGCAGCTAAGAGTTTAAAAAAGAACTATGCCATACTTCCTTTTGATATCCTGTTTCCTCTTAGTTGCCCTGGGCATTACATAGTATTTCACACTGGTGCAGGAGTAGTGTGCCTGAGGGACAGTATTACCAACTAGTCCAAATTAGTGGATGCACTGTGTAATCGTATACATCATCAACAACATGTTGAATCAGCGCAAATGTGCACCAGATGTAGTAGGGGTTGTAAATAATTAGTGATTGAATGCAATATAACTGAAGTACTGCAATTAGATACACATTTATAGTACGTATACTTAATAGTATCTTGTGAGGGAAATTTATTATTTTATTTTTTTAAATCTGATTACGATAGGAATAAGTGTTAATCCAAATAAACTATTTTAAAACCTTGTTGAATGAGATGTATAATTGATGGTCCCAAAGCTAAACATGGAAGTGTTTCTGAGCTCATTAACATTTTATTTTTTACAGATACTTACTGTGACATTACAAACATACGATGAGCTTATAGAATATGATGCATTCTTTTTTTATTAAACTACCCAACTTTACATAAGGTAGTTGAATAAGCTCTACCTTGAATATCTCCACCAGTAAAATACAACATACCCAATAATGCAGCCGTAATATAAATTCCAAACCATCATAATAGTAAAACAATATTTTTTGCATGATGAAGTATAGCCTACTGAGATTTACTGATAATATTTCACTCAGACTTAAGTATTTTTTGGAGCGCAAGACTGGAGTATTTTCGCAGTGTGGTTTAAGTGCATTCACTTCAGTAAAGGATCTAAATACTTATTTCACCACTGTAGTAACCCATAGACTGTTTATTAGCTTGCAAACAAACCGGTCAGCTACATTACGGTTATATCAGAGGCAGACACTTTATTTTTACATGAGGCTATGTTTGTACTCATCATCAGACACAAATACAACAAAGGGTGAGACAAGATGTAGCTAAGACAGATTAGAGCGCTTCTTCTAGGTTTAAATAGCACCAAGCATTACCTAAGGCTAAGACGATCTTTCCAGGTAAAACAACAGGTAAACATTACTCAAAGATAATGAGGAATAAATAAATGAGATGTGCACAACAACCAGTGGTG